AGAGAGAGAGAGGAGAGAACTTTCAAATTTTGGATGTGTGGAGTAAGGAGGAGAACACCTCCTTATATAACACTAGGTCGGGGGGTTTCAATGTTCTAATAATTTTGCATTAATACAAAATATGGTACAATAATCATTAGGGCTTTGCAACTGCCAATTCAATTGACAAATTAACTAGAGAATTGGAACCAATTGAATTCGTTGTTACAATTTCTCATTCGCTTTTTATTTTTTTCCCAACAATAGAGAGCTAGAGATTTACAAGTTGTTCCACATAGAGGCACTAGACAGGATGGCTGGGGACAATGAATGGCATATACAAGAACATAAACCGAGTCGAGGCTAGGACCATTGACCTAAAATTCCGAGTAGATCGAATTGTTAATATGTTCCATCACTTCCTCATCCACTTATATGTTATCTACACATTTCAAAGCCATTAGCATGCAAATAAAATCGCACCAGAAAGAGGTTTGACTGTCATTTGTATCTAATGATCAAGTCAATCGTTGAAAAAGTTATAATCTAGGCATGGGATGGATAAATAGAAAAAGTCTTGGATAGGGTTTTAATATTGCATACATTTTTTCTTCAACATGCAAGAAGTGTTTATACAAGAAATAGATTAAAGGCTATTTCGGACATTTCTTACGTTTTGGATACGTTTCGATCGTTTATTGGTTTGATTATTATCATCGAATTGATGCTATCAGGGACGTATCCAGGATGTTGAGCTAGCACTGGCGGCCATAATAAAATATTAAGGGCTTGTTTGATGTCATTTTTTGCCAAAAAAAAAAAAAGCATTTTGGAATAGTGATTTAATAGAGAATGTGTATTTAAAAATAATAAAAAATTTCGAATTTACGTGTAATATTATTTTATTAAAAAATGTTTGATCGAAAATAAGGGAAAGAAAAATGTATTCTGAACTAAATGGGAATCAAACAAGGCTTCAAATTTAAATAAAATAATTATTTTGTTGAAGTTGAACATATATTTTTTGTTATAAGAATAAATCGTACTCATCAAATAATATTATTGCTTTGTATAATCAAAAGGAAGAGCACGGTATTAAAATTTTTATAATTGCATTCACATGTTCGATTTCCCAGTAGTCCTTTCCTTATTTCAATTGCTTTTGGTGAAAATTGTATAACTAAAAATTTATGCAATAAATTGGTGGACAGATTCTTCCCCATTAGTCCTTTCCTTATTTCAATTGCTTTTTGTGAAAATTGTACAAGTAAAAATTTATACAATAAATTGGTGGACAGATTCAAACCCGGGATATAAAATAAACAAATGCAAGCGCTGACCAACTCAACTGCAAGGAACGATTGAAAGAAAAGTGACTTACTAGTAATATATCCTATATATTTGTCTATTCTCAGCCCAAAAAAAAGACTCCCGACGGATCCAACACATGCGGCCGCGGGGGCTCGCGGGGTGTTGGATCCGCCGATGGATGCTATTAGATAACCCCTCTCACCACATGGTGATGAGGATATTGAGTTCGTTTTTTGATCCTTTTAAGGGAAATAGGTTTAATATCCACCTAGCCACTCATGGCTTATGGATGTTGGGGCTAATCTTTTCTCACTTAGCGTGGAGGGCCAATGGACAAACGATCTTAATGACTCTTTTTCCTCATATGGTGAATTGAGAGTTCACACACTTGCAAAGTGGTTTTTGGCTCGAATTAGGTGCTCTGTCATCATACACGTTTAACATCGACAAGGTGCTTGTTTTTCGTATGCAGCTTTGACAAGGCGTCTCACGATGTAGGAAATGTCTTACTTGGCTTCCGCTTTAAACGTAGTTTGCACAAGGAGCCCACATGAAGCGAAGTAGTAACAATAGTTCCCAAAAGTTCGTCTCTAACATTTATGTTGGCTACGGACTTTTGCTATGTGGTTCACTTAGTTGTTTGGCTGGCGATGACTACCTTGTGCGACCCTGCACTACTTGTGGAGTCTATGAAATTCTTTAAGCGTGCCTCCCTACCTTGTACAATGAAATAGTAACAAAAGTCCCCAAGTCTATGCCTAATATTTATGGGAAAAGGATACACGTCCAGGGCCACAGATAGACAGGGGCACCAAATGGCACCCTGGACGTCAAGTACACCTCATATTTATGTTGGGTTATGGACAACTGGCATTGAAAAATAATTTACCACGCATTATTCATTTCTTGTTTGAGTTATAAGTACAAGATAATCTAACAAATTTTTCATAATACCAAGAGATACTAACTGTCTCCATTTCTTCACTATCTCCTAAAATAACCATACACAACTACGAATAATAACCTGTCACAAGTATTTCTGACTATTTTAAAATAAATAAAACATAAAATTACATTATATCGCTAGAAAGTGGAAGGCAGACTCCACCAAACGGGTTGAGATTGATTCCCGCAATATGATGGTGATAGCCTTGAGGCAATTTAATACTGTTGTTTCAAAGAAAAGAATTGTGGAGAAAAAATGTATCAATTTCCCTGTATCAATTTCGTTAACGTTATATTATTAGAGAATGAATACTTAAAAGAATTTTATTACACATGGTTTAACTTAGAAAATACAGATAAAGATCAAATTCATTAGCTAGAATGCCAAATTGAATAACCAAGTGTATTTCTTGCACTACAAAAATTCGCGACTTCTGGGACGACAAAAAGTCGCGACTTCAGGGACGGAAATGCATTGCTAAAACCCTACTTTAACACTCTTCGACTAAGTTGATTTTCTTACCTATATTATAGAGCTAGCGTATGTTTTCCCTCAAAAAAAGGTACATGTGATATCTATTTTGTAACTTCGCTCAATCTTCTTGGGAAGATTACACCAAAATTCTGGAAAGAATCACAAGCAATTCTTGATATGAGAAGATTAGAGAGAGAAAGTAAGAGAGAGGAGAGAGAAAGAGAAAAAGGACCATATTTTATAGTGCAAATGGCCCCGTTATGTTTTGTTACTATTAAGACAAGATTAAGGAAGTGGGCTAGCCATGGTTTGGGACAACCAAGGCATATCGCCCCGCTAACAATGCAAAAAGAAGCAATAAAATAGGCATCCTTGTTCCCATGTGCATCAATTTAAGAGCAAACTTCCAAAACACAACTCCTCACTTGCCTCCCTAAAATCATTTTCTTTGCATCAAAGGCATACAATATAAGCTGGGAACAACTATCACCCCCCTCTTACCCACCCCTTCTTCTCTTTTAATACAGTTCCCTCTCTTGAGCACTTAAAAAAATGTCGATCGATCGAGCTGTCAGTTTGAGGAGAGCATTTAAAGAAGCGTAAAATGACACATCTCGCTTTTTTCAATGTTAATGTTAATGATAAATTCCATGTTCATTAAATATAGAAACCATAGATAAAATATAAGAATTTGTGTTTCTCCTCTTAATAGAGTTTGACATTTTAAGATATAACTGCAACTCTTAATATAAACTCAGAGTTCATAGTATTCAAACAAGTGACTGATGCGTCTAAACTTAGAACATGTTATCGAATTTTAGGATTGATGTTTTTAAATAAACCATTTTTTACGAGGATTAATGTTTAGGATAAACTCTCACAATAATTATATATCAAAGTAATAAACAACATATAAGGATTTGGTTGGACCTTTAAGATGATACATCAAGTCTTAACATATGGTTAATTATTTTTTCGGGAAAAAATATCATCCCGAAATAATATTTTTTCCTTAATTACTCGTTAAGTGTGTTCATAGCCATAACCATGAAATTTAATATATATGTAACTAGATTTAATTAGTGGGGACAAATTAGGTTTTATTAACCATAAAATTCGGATGACAATAACGAAAATGACAGGCAGATTTCAATTAATTGAAAGGAATTCCAAAGTTATTTCAACTTTAAAAATGTGTGAGTTTTGATAATGGAGATAGATGAATTCATTACATCCTCTCAAAGTATATAGAGACCCGGCCCTAATAAAACTAGGGTCAAATATGCATGTGACTTGTATTATTTTCACAATCATGCATGTATCACAGATATATCCAAAAAGATTTTAAGATCTTTTCTCTCTTTTATTTACAAAGATTTTATGATCAAAGGTCATACTTTAATATATAAATTAAATTATTGCAGTAAAATATTTACAATTAATTAGTCTTGTGACGTAGTTTGCTTATCTATCCCTTTTTAAGGGAATGTGTATATCTATCTTTCATAGCTTGCCGTGACCTAACCCCACCTCCATCTCCTACCCTATCATTCGAAACTTTCCACAAAAAATCCGATTTCCCCGAATTCTTCCCTTAATCAAGGAAGAAACGTTGTCATATGAAATTGATGATCATATTGGATTCTTTCTACATTGATGTTATAGCCGTTAATGGGTATGGTTGGTTACTTACGCATGATGCTATATCGTATTATTATGAGTGTTTCGCACCAGTTTAGGTGATGATGGTGTAAAGCCTGCAGATTTAATGTCCAATGAATCAAATCGTCATTGGGTAATGAACTAGTAAGGTCTAGAAGGGTGCTACATTTGAAACAATATTCTTAAGGTAATTATAAGTATTCTTCAAAAGTAGTTAATAAACTATATTCAAACATTCTATCGGACCTAATCTTTAACCCATTGTAGGCAAGATAAACTTTGCCCACCAATCGACATGTCAAGCCACTTTTTTTGACAAATAAAAAAAAAAAAAAATTTGACTCCACGTGGCAATGCTGCATCGGTGGGTGGACAACATAACTCTTACTCACTATAGACAAGAAATCAATTCTATAGTCTAGCTAATTAGCATCATACTTTATTATTTGATGTAATATTGATAAAAGGTCAAAACTTTTAAATTTAAATTTTGAGTAAAAATAGTGTCTGACTTGAGCTTTCGACCCCGTCTGGCCTCCATTTTTTGAAATGAAAATGAAGGAAATAGTATTTTTTTTTAAATGAGTGGTTGAAAAATAATGAAATTTTTTTCAATTTACGTGTAATATTATTTTATAGAAAACTGGTATTTGGCGTGAAAGTTTTTGTTCATCTATGGTGGATACCGAGGAAGATCGGAAATCACTTCATGAAGCAAGGAATTAAAGGACCTAAGTATCAGCTTTTTCTAGGCAATTTAAAAGAACTTGCCAGCTTAAATTTGAAGGCTTCAGCTCAACCGATGCTTCTACCCCACAACATACTCCCTAGAGTTCTCTCCTTCTATCATCACTGGAAGAAGATTTATGGTATGAATCAATGAATTTTGTAAGTTCTTTTTATGCACTTAAAAGTTTTAGAAAAGTTGTATAAATCTTAAGTTTATCCCTCACCACATTTAAGCTACTTTTGTGTGTGTTTATGTGAATTTTTCTCTTTTGTTGAATAATATGGTGAAACTCACATTTTCCTACTAGCCCTTTTAATTTTCAAAAAACCATGTTTAGAAATTTTACATGCTTTTTTTGGTCATAAAAAAAATCAATGAATGTATATTTGATCGCAGGCGGGACGTTTTTAGTATGGTTTGGACCAACGCCTCGTCTCACCATATCTGATCCATCACTCATTCGGGAAATTTTCGTCTTGAAATCGGATTATTTCGAGAAAAATGAGTCTCCTCTACTTGTGAGAAAACTTGAAGGTGATGGTTTGTTAAGTCTCAAAGGAGAAAAATGGGCTCACCACAGAAAGATTATTCAACCAACTTTCCACACAGAAAATCTCAAGGTAATTATATACTTTCCACACAATGTGAGATCTGATCGACTGCCTGTCGAGTGTCGAGTACTATTCAATCATCTCCACTACCACAAAACTTACCTGTACTATAAAAAATTTCACTTTGAACCGTGAAATATTTTGTCCCGAAAAGTCATTTTTCAGTTATTTCGTCGAAAAAGCATATTTCGAGCCAAAGTTTTCATCATTAAACGTCAAATTTCTAGTAGTTCGATATTGATTTGTACTTTTGTAGTATAGTTAATGATGCCGATGATGGCAAAAAGCATAGAAGAGGCAGTCGAGAGGTGGTCGGGCGAGATATCGAATGCCGGAAAAGTAGAAGTTGAAGTATCAGAATGGTTTCAGAACTTGGTTGAAGATGCCATTACAAGAACAACTTTTGGAAGCAGCTATAAAGATGGAAGGGCAATTTTTGATTTGCAATCACAACAAATGGTCCACGCCACTGAGGCCTATCAGAAAGTTTTCATCCCTGGATACAGGTATGTAACAGTAATAAATATTAAAAATTAACCATAGTAATTATTAGTTCAGTAACAGTATCCAGCAAGATACATTGCACTCCCAGTCATATTAAAAAAAGGTTGAATCCCAATCTTGAGGGTCCTCACCGTCCCATCTCTAAAACTTTGTGAGGGAGATAAATCGCAGGATGTGCCCCAACAGGTTAGGGAACAAAAGTTCCATGTATACTCTCCAGACATATTATTTGCATACATGAAAGCTCAAGCCTTTAATTAATAGTTTCCATGATTCATTTATTCCAAATCTTATCATCAAGCCATCTGCTTACAAAAAATTTACATGTCAGACTTTTAATAAAAAAAAAAAACTTGAAGGTGATGGTTTGTTAAGTCTCAAAGGAGAAAAATGGGCTCACCACAGAAAGATTATTCAACCAACTTTCCACACAGAAAATCTCAAGGTAATTATTTACTTTCCACACAATGTGAGATCTGATCGACTGCCTGTCGAGTGTCGAGTACTATTCAATCGTCTCCACTACCACAAAACTTACCTGTACTATAAAAAATTTCACTTTAAACAGTGAAATATTTTGTCCCGAAAAGTCATTTTTCCAGTTATTTCGTCGAAAAAGCATATTTCAAGCCAAAGTTTTCTTCATTAAACGTCAAATTTCTAGTAGTTCGATACTGATTTGTTCTTTTGTAGTATAGTTAATGATGCCGATGATGGCAAAAAGCATAGAAGAGGCAGTCGAGAGGTGGTCGGACGAGATATCGAATGCCGGAAAGGTAGAAGTTGAAGTATCTGAATGGTTTCAGAACTTGGTTGAAGATGCCATTACAAGAACAACTTTTGGAAGCAGCTATAAAGATGGAAGGGCAATTTTTGATTTGCAATCACAACAAATGGTCCACGCCACTGAGGCCTATCAGAAAGTTTTCATCCCTGGATACAGGTATGTAACAGTAATAAATATTAAAAATTAACCATAGTAATTATTAGTTCAGTAACAGTATCCAGCAAGATACATTGCACTCCCAGTCATATTAAAAAAAGGTTGAATCCCAATCTTGAGGGTCCTCACCGTCCCATCTCTAAAACTTTGTGAGGGAGATAAATCGCAGGATGTGCCCCAACAGGTTAGGGAACAAAAGTTCCATGTATACTCTCCAGACATATTATTTGCATACATGAAAGCTCAAGCCTTTAATTAATAGTTTCCATGATTCATTTATTCCAAATCTTATCATCAAGCCATCTGCTTACAAAAAATTTACATGTCAGACTTTTAATAAAAAAAAAAAAAGTGACTGTGGTATGTAGTGGTTTACGAACAATTCGTGAATTTTATTAGTTTTTACGGTCATCGTATTTTCAAAGTTATTTCTCAATAGAGTCTATTCGGATCATTTGAGAAATTAATGTTTCTGCTTTATCACCACATCGAAATCGTTAATTTTACATGATAGCAGAGATTAAGATAGATGAAAATAACGTCAAAAAACAATGAGTATTGAGATTTTCAACCTTCGTATCGTTCATTCTTGATCTTCCAAACCCATTTATTTTCTTTTCGGGTTTGTCTATTAATGGGTGGGGCTAGCCACTCGTACAATGTAGTTGTAGCTACCCCATAATCAGTAAATTATAAGCTGTTAACTACAAAAATTAATTAGTAATTTTGAGATTAACATCGTATTAATCAATTTATATATATATATATATATATATTACAAAGATAATTAGTTCTTTCACTATTCCTTTTGTATAATTTTCTTGAACCCCATTTGCAGTTGGGAATGATTCTGAATGAATCTCTAAGATTGTACCCACCAGCAGTGGCAATAATCAGACGAGCCAAGATCGATGTACAATTAGGCGGGCTCCACATCCCGTCCGGGACCGAGCTTCTTATACCGATTCTAGCTGTTCATCACGACCCGACGTTGTGGTGCCACGATGTACATGAATTCAACCCCGCTAGATTTGCCAATGGTGTAGTCCATGCAGCCAAACATCCCTTGGCATTCATGCCCTTCGGCCTCGGAGCTCGCCGCTGCATCGGACAAAATTTGGCCATTTTGCAAGCCAAATTGGGCATTGCCATGTTACTGCAGCGCTTCTCATTTGAGCTTGCACCACATTATAAACATGCCCCTAGTGTTCTAATGTTGTTGCATCCACAAGAAGGTGCACCAATTATATTCCGAAAATTGTAGGACTATGAGGAATATATTAAAACTTTAGGACCACATGTTGTCATATCTTAGGACAATACTACTAGTTTTCTAACTAACACCTCCACCAATGCCCAAGTCAAAATAGAATTTTTCTCGAGATGAAATTCGTCCTGTCGCAGTTTGTTTTCTCTAAGTTAGAGTTTTTGCCATAGTTTAACCTATTTTAAGTTGTTCTAACCGGACCGTGGACCGCCTCTTCAATTTGGCTTGGCTCTTATGTCTCTTTGTAATTAGTCAAGTGTTAAAGAAATTTCTCCTTCTTGTCTATGTACTATGTAAATTCTTGGTCAATAGATGTGTACATAATGTTTGTGGCATTATTAGAATGTAAAAAGTTGTCTTGGTTTAACAGTTCTTTTCATTTGATCTATGACCATATAGAAACTTATAAATATTAATACTCGTAAGGACCGATCAATGGCTACTCAAAAAGTTCATGACTTGGTTGACAACCTCCAATATATTTTGGAGGGACGAGCACTAAAGGCCGGTTCAAAGATTCGAACATACTTGTATTAGAAAGTCGAAATATTATTGTAATTCTATGATCTCTCACTAAAACGTGTAGCACGTTGGCCTACATGTGGCCACAATAAAAGGAAAAATCGGTGTATAGTCACAAATTTTTTCTGCCTCCATGCCATAATTACCTAGCCATTTTCCAAAGAAAATTGAGAATCAAAAGTCCAAATTACTATTACAAAAGTCATCTTCTCCAGGTGCCAAAGCCATTTTTTCTTCGTTGATTGCCTTTACTTCCTCCGTGATTCTTACCAAAACTTATTTGCAATCTTTGTGAATCCTTTATAATTCATTATTCAACCTCTAATCATTACATATTTCCTGTAATCAAAATTGATACATTTACAAGCATTTTCCACAGAGTCCCTCACGATTTTGTTTTGTGCGTGAAGATTGATGTTGAAAAATGACTAGATGCCTTTCCCATCTACAAACTGTAGTAAGAATTCTTGTGTATCATTGAAAGACCAAAAAAGGAAAAAGGATGTCGATTGCTGTGATTAACGTTGTAAAATGACTAGACGGCTTCACATCAACAAACTATAGTAAGAATCTTGTGTATCATTGAAAGACCAATAAAACAGATGTCGATCATAAAAATAACTGATGGGACAACTAACAACAAATTTGGATAGACAGTTAACTTAGTTTCTATTTGTGAAATGGCTTTCACCAAAAGTGATAAGAATCATAGTAGTTATTGTACTTCTTACTTGACGCATGTCAAGTAAGACGCATGTCTTGTGTCAATCAATTTTCCTGTCAAGTGACGTGTGAACTTAATTGTCATTTAGGTCAGTTTAGGTGTAATTAGTATTATTGGTTTTTTAAACATGTTGCTTCTAGGTTGAACACCTTTTGGGAGAGTTATTCCCTTTGATCTGTTTCTTTTTCGTATTAATGTGAAACGCTAGCAACTTAGGTGTTATGGTGGTGGCAATCAAGCAGACTAGCTCTTTGGCTTGATGACTCAACTAGAAAAATCTCGACCGATGGACAGTTCGAGCTTATTTCGAGATGAGCCCAAGCATGAGTTCAACGTGTTGAGGCTATGAGCAAACCGAGAGCCGATCCATGAGCTCGACAAGTCACTAGCCAAAATTGTGACCATTTGGTCACATTCAAAGTTTGTGACCGTTTAAGAAAAGGGTCATAAACTTTAAATGAATCTGTTAAAAAATCGATCTCCAATAGTTTATGAAATTTTTTTCTTCTATAAATACCTCACCAATAAATCATTTTTTTCTCCCAACTAATTCAATATTCTTTCTTCAACTCGCTCTGCAGTATAATTCCTTCATTAATAATTTATTCTACAATTTTTCTACTCTATACAATTATTTTACATACACATACATTCATAACTATAATTCTAGTATATACATTCTTTCAACTCTATTATCTACATACACTATACATTATCCAATGTATACATTTCATCTTTATTAGCTACAGTACAAAATATCCAATTCATGCATTTCAAAAAATAAAATTGTATACGTAACAAGTTGTTTATGTACAATTTTAACTCAGCTTACTTGAAAATTAAGTAGTCGGTCCCTGAACCCGAATAAAAGGAGGTGGGTTTTTTTAAATATAAAAATAAAAAGAATCTCAATTCAATTTAGTTTTTATATATTCTACTCTTACGACTTTATATATTCCATATTTCATATTCATACAATTCAATTTAATGAAAATGAAGAATTCATTTCCTCAAATTTTAAGTAACATCAATAAAGTGTGCCATCAAATGTTCGCTAAAATACTACACCGCAAGTGCATGGGTCACGCACAAGCAATAGAATAGACTTTTTGAGTCTGAGTCGATTCCTCGAAGAGTGTTTATTCCAATTACACGAGAGTTGATTCAAATAACGGTCACGACACACACAATTAATATATTGAATTTAAATATTAAAAGAAAATGATTCTAAGCATTCAAATAAAATACCCAATTGCAATTATGATAAGAGTTGAATTTGTCCACCTTAAACAATACATCCTCAATTTAAACAATACATCCTTAATGACACCCCGAGGATATTTAATTGATCGATCAGCCAATTGTAATGACATAGTGGTGGCCTTGGCTTCTCCCAATCCCAGCTTCCTGAAAATAAACAAAGGCATCAAATCAATGCTGGCAACAAGATCACATAAAGTTTTACTAAAATTTAAATCACCAATAGTGCATAGAATAGTAAAATTCCCTGAATCTTTGATTTTCGATGGTAGCTTCTTTTGAATGATGGCACTACACTCCCCTGTTACCATTACTGTTTCATGCTCTTCGAGTTTTCTTTTGTTTGAAAGAATGTCCTTCATAAATTTGGTATAACTCGACATTTGAGCTAACACATGGGTGAACGGAATGTTTATGTATAGTTTCTTGAAGACCTCCAAAATTTTTCCAAATTGAGCATCCAATTTCTGTTGGTCAAGTCTTTGTAGAAAGGGAATAGGAGACACATAGGCCTTGATCAGTGTTGGAACCTTTGATGTTGATGGCTTCGGTTCATCCTCATTAAGTGTCTCATCCTTTGCATTAGGTTCCTGCATAACTTCGTCTTCTTCTTTGGGTGCCTTGCCAATTTGAGCCTTAAAGCGTACCACCGTGATTTCGAGCAACTGCACCCCACTCCTAGTGGTAATGGCTTGCACATTCTCCCTTGGATTTGTTTTGGTGTTTCTAAGCAACATCCCTTGTTGTCTTTCGAAAAGAAACTCGGCAATTTGACCCACTTGACATTCCAAATTTTTCAAAGAGGCATCATTGCGTTCCTGATATTGCAATTGATGGTTCGCCAACTTAGCAATGGCCTCTTCCCAACCTTCTTTCTTCTCTTATAGTCTCGGGTTGAGCACAATTTGGTTGTTCCCATTAGAGAAGTTTGGACGATTTTGCCAAATGGGGCTATAAGTTTTAGAGTAAGGATTGTACCCTTGGCGTTGAAAAGTTTTGAGCATATACCACTTGCTCAGT